ATACGAATATTAGATCTCTTGTCAATGTGAGGAAATCATTTCTTATTCTGCAAAGACATGTACACATAAGCAACGTCGTTATTTGTTTATCTAAATCGAATTTTTAAATTTTACCAAGTGGATGTTAATTTGAAAAGATAATAAAAAGAAAATGAATAATTTGAGTTGCTTTCTTTTTATCATATCAAATGCAACAATGTACCCAGCCAATGAGTTTTCTAATAAAATATTTAATAATGATACATTGTATTTGACCATTTATTTCATTTTTGTTAAAGACATGACATGTATATATTAACAAATTTATCTCTCTATTTATCAATGATTAAGAGATTTGGTTTTTACATACAAACTGAAATCCTTACAAAATCAAAAATGAACTTGTCATATTAATATGCCAGTAAAACGTATATTTTTGCAAGTCATTACTTTAAATGGGAATGACCATGCATTCATTTTCTTTTCAGAACCTTGAATACAGAAACATGAAATATACCAGTAACAAACAATTCTTTTGATATACAAAATGTAGTCCATAATTGAAAACAGACTGGAAAGGCTTAAGAAATATGTTTTTAATTATGTTATTGCACGGGGTTGTTTATCCCAGGGACACTCTATCACTTCATTAAGAGTGAGATTGTTAACACCAATAATTAATTTGTAACTAGTCTGTCAGCTAAAGAGGATTTATTATAACAACAATAACAACAACAACAACAACAACAAAACACTGCTACATTGGACACCTGAATACAGCATTTTTAAAATTACAGTTATGTAAACTTACGATTATTTCAGAAATTGTTATTGAAAACTTTGTTATCTCAAGCATGTGAAAAATACATTGTTAATTTGATGTTATATTAGCACAGTAAACTCATTTAGTCGAACACAAACTAATTTTTATTGGGTCCCCAGCAGAATTCTTAAAAATTCTCATAAAATATTATAGTTATGACGAGATCACAAATAAAGTTATTTTGACATTAATATCTGCTAAAAGAAAATCGACAAAATATTAATTTGGTCAGCTTGAGGCTCATAACGTACTTAAAACATTTCACCAATGTCGAATACTTTGATGTTTGTTGAGTGGTATAGTTAAAGAAAGAATACTGTATGTTCAGATGAGGATGTGTTCAAGGAAACCCATACATACGATTCTTCGGTGTTCCTACTTTCTGTGAATGTTCCATGCTTCAATTTGAAACTAGAGGTACTGTGAGCAGTGATCTCACTAAATGATAACAACTTACACCCCCCACCTTCCATTAGATTATAATGACAAAGTCCATATTTTGCTCAGAGAGACCCGAAATAAGTGTCAGAACAAAAAGTAAAATAGGAGGTGTACAATGGCATTATGTAATAAAGAACCTGTGAAAGTATTATTAAATTAAATAATGCAGTGGTATAGGAGAAGATGCGGATAAGAGATGGGTGCCTTCAATATTATAGAAGAAATGGCAGTGTCAATGTTTTGCTATGGGAAACCTAAAATATGTTTCCGATCAAAAAGTAAAATAGAATGTGCACGATAACCTTTTGTAACTCTGTGAAAGTCTCATTAAATTTCATTCAGTGGTAAAAGAGGAGTTGAGGATAAGAGCAAAGCAGAACAGTCAGATGGACGTTCAGACAGACATCCCGATTACTATATACCCTCCCACTTTTCGCGTGGAGGATATTATAAAGAGTAATTAACGGCGAATTAATGAAATTAAAGTTTGATGCCACGGATTTCTCTACATTTTCTTTTGAAACATTCAGTTCACCACATGGATGATTATTGGACAATTCAGTCAAATTATCTTGTGAAATATTAAAATAATTTACGTTGTTAATTTTATCAGCGTAAATTATTAACCAAACAACAGAGCTTTATGATAAAAGTGCTGAATTCAAGTTTTAATCTTCACTGAAATAAGCAGCCATCTACCCTTAGTACCTCCATATGGTGTTTATTTTAGTCTCTCAGTTGATTTGATACACAATTGTGATTTGATACACAAAAGCGTATTTACTTAAAAAAAAAAGCCAAAGGAAAATTTTAGACTGGAATCTGCTGAAAAACCATACATAAGCTGTTTTGTCATTATACATGTGGGGATATATTTTTAATACCTTTTGATACTTCTATGCATAGAAATGAAAATTTTCTAAAATAATATTCATTTTCAATTTATTCAGAAAAAATAATACAACATAAAAAAGATGACTAGGTTGTCTGTATTAAATTTCTATATCACTGTCTCTATTACATTTCCGTAATTTCGTCTTGAACAAAAAATATACTGTTGCAAAATTTGTTGAACAACTCTACCATATCTGCATAAATATCAAGGAAAACAGTGCACTGTACTCACACAAAGCAATGATCTACCGATCAACTGTATATCAAAGAGAGTGAAAATTGTGTTTTGTTTAATAGATTTAAACGTTTAGAATAAAAGATCATTGATTTATGACATAAGTTCACAATTTCGCACGTTCATAAGGAATGTTATTACAGCTTAATTCATGCTTCTGTACACGAGGAGGAAGACAATTCATCATTCAGTGCGATGTACAGCAACACATCCAACCACAACGGTTTGACTTGAGGTCACAGGACTGTAACTGAATTTTACTCGCACATTTTGATAAATTGGTTCACAGACTATATTATTTTCACAATGTCCAGCTACAGGTTTATTCCGACAAACGGCAGAGTAGATCACTGGGGGGTCTCTTCTGACGTCACAGGTCTGAGTCACGTTCCACGGACAAAGTGCTCTCTGACTCTGGAAGTATGAAGGTTGGTGAACTTCACGAGGGCAAAATATGTGAGCTCTCAGCGAAGGTAACCAAACACACACCAAAAGAATGATGGATATGCTTTGGTTCTGAAATGAAGACAGTGAAAAACCAAATCAATTTTAATGTTGAATTCATGTATTCATTATTGGTCATCATTCAACGATAGATAGTAATAAAAAAAAAACTATATTATGCTAGTGTAAATTAAGAGTGTGGAAGGGTAGAATTCTATAAGATTTTCAAAACATAAGTAATTTTTTTATAGCTATAAAGGCAACTTTTGTGTATTATATATATTTTTTTTTATTTGACTCCATTGCTCTTACTTTTTTTTTTATATATTAATTCCTTTTTTGTAATGTTTATGAATACATCATTAATAAGCTAAAGCTTTAACGTTTTAATGCATTTTTGTCTTGCACAGTAAGTTATCTTTATTTGTACATTTTTCTGTGTTTTTCTTTTAAATCTTTATTTAGAGTTTTTCATTTACTTTTCTGTACAGCTGCGAAACATGTAATGGAGACTGTAATAAAGTATTATAGTAATAAATTAAACATTAAAATGAATTCTTCATTCTTATATTTTTTTCATAATGCTTTCATACCTACAGTAATTCATATTCATTATAATATTATACTCACCAAATGCATGTCTAACTTTCAATATATTTTTCTAGCAAAGTAGATATCCAAATTATGCTCATTTTAAGTATTTGAATTCCTTTTATATTGTTTAATTATCTTTAATGGAAAAGACCAAACCTATACTCAAAATATTCAAAACCGAACCATAAAAATATTCTGTACATGATTAGTAAATTGAAGATAGAGCTTCTTAAAATTTTTAATTTCTGTTTGTATCAATTTCGTACAGTCAGTACCAGATAACGAGTTTACAGACCTGAAAATCAGATCACCTACTGATACAAGGAAATAAGCAATGAAATGAAATATATAATGGAGATAGAGATCTACGTATTCTACTATCCAGAACTCCGGCCCTCCAAAACCTCAGAGGTGGGACCAGGTGCCATGAAGGAGTGGGCATCCCTTGCCGACCGGTCACACCTGCCGTGTGCTCCTTATCATGATCGAGAAATAAAGAAACATCCGTTGTCAATTCATTGTTTAAATAATGGACTAACATCAGTCATCATTTGACTCAATGATAAATTGTATTTGCTGATAAGGTAATTGTATCGACCAAAGAACTTACCAAATGATGACTTTAAACGAGTCTGTCGATATTTATTCCATTTATTTTGTCATAAATAAGGCTGCAAATCACCGAATCTTTTATGAGAGAGAGAGAGAGAGAGAGAGAGAGAGAGAGAGAGAGAGAGAGTTTAGGATGGTTTTATCTCAATCTGCATAGTGAGTTAGTCATTATTATTACAGATTATTTTTTTCCCCATTTCCAGTTTTCTTTTGCGTTAGTTGTCACCTTTCCCGTCATAATTTTCTTTCCTATTTCGGCAAAACTAAGAGCCATCTCGGACGTTGGCTTCAGTTATGTTGATATATTTATGATACAGTTATGTCGGTATTAAAGCTCAAAAACCATTAGAAGAATTCAAATCAAGCAAATTCAGATACCTTAAAAAATCAGAGGTAGGATCTGGTCAACGGAGGGGTAAAAATTTACTGACGACTGGTCACACCCGCTGAGTACTCTATAATATTTGATAAACAAAATTCAATGGGATTTATTTTTTTTTTTTTTTCGTTTTTTGAATTTATGTCCAGTTCGAGAATTTTTAACTCGTAAAGAGACGTCATCATATACCGGTGAGTGAATTCCTACATTATGCTTTTATCAAAAGTGAATGCAAGGACATGCATGCACGGCCATTGAGCAGTTTTGATTCTTCATCGTGGCTAAGCCTACCGTGACACAAATTTTTTTCTAAAATGTCAACTTTCATTGATGATTAAAACAATTAAAGTTATGAATCTTCATTAATTACTTATTTTCTGATGTCACTTATGAGCTATTCAATATAAAAATAAAGAATCGAAAGAGTTCCTGAATATCGGTATAGTATAGAAGTTCCATATCACATATTTTAAAGTCTACTGTATATGTTGGATATGTTGTTTAACGTTACAAAGGTATACACATTCAATTCTGAGTTTCAAATGATGTCCCGGTATTACTTTCAATTAAAATTGATAAAACAAAATCAAGACGACAACACAATGGTCAATATATATAGTTTTTAAAGATAACATTCTATGGTTGATATATTGTTATGTAGTCCACACTTTGACATTAACAGGTTGATGACGTTGCCGTTCCTTTGACATCAACCGGTCGATGACGTTGCCATCCCTTTGGTCCCACATGGAGGATCAACAGCATCCGGCCAGTTACAGGTTTGTTGGGCTTCATCAAAAACAGTCACTGCAAGTCAAAATTATATTTATATAGAAGCAACAAATATTGCATTCCTGTTTGATTGCTTAATATTTTTTGTTCATCGGTAAATGTTAAATGAGAAAGGGTCTCCATACAGAGACGTTTAAGGAAGAAACCATTTTAGATGAATTAAAAAGAAATACGAAGGTATTAGGCATTGGATTAAGACATACCTTTAGAACAGAAATTATGGCTATCAAACACTCCTTGATAGCAGGTATAGTAGGTTTTACAATGGGTCTCAGTGTCTGCATATAGACCATCAGCTTTATTAGAGCAATCACGTGTCTGACCACAGATCCCCTGAACAGTAGAGGGTCTGAATAAAAACAAGTCTGTATAGCCACATACTGTTTTATCACTTAATTTCCTTCGATCAAATTTTTGAGGTTTGAGAAAGATATAGGCGTTTTAATGTCATGGTTTCAGAATTGTAACATTGTTGATAGAAAGTCTTATATTTTGTTTCCCTCCATATCATGAAAACCTCGAAATTAACATCAATTGCAAGAAATGTGTTTTTTTTTTACTGTAGCTTTTTTTAAAATCAGATTTAAAAAGAGTTATTTATTTTTAGAAGTCAAACATTTTAGTTATAATAAGAGAAATATTAGTTACTCTGCACAAGTTCCGGTGGAATTGTCATAAACTTTTCCGTGACCACAGTCCACGATTTTGACCACGCCCCCAGCACACACCCCGTACGACCTACATCCTATCTCATAATTACCATCCGGAAGTCCACTGCAATCCAGGCCATAGACTATAATAATAAGAAAAGAAGAAATGAAATGAGAGAACATAATGGACATCACCCAAGCCCAAAAGCCCACTAAAACTACACGAATCGGGAGCAGAGCAAACACGGACCTCTAAAATATCAGAGTGGGATCAGGTACATAGGAGGAGTTAGCATCCCAAATGGAGGAGTTAGCATTAACAAAAAATACTTCGAAGTGTTCACACTTTTAACCCTTAACTGAAAGGCAAGACTCTTTAATGTAGGTCACTAGAAACATAGAGTCATTGAAATATTTTGCATTAAAGATTGTTTTATTTTATTTTAAGGAATTCAAAATTTTGTACACACAGCTGCTTAAACATTACAATATGTATTTACTTTCTTTAGCATTTTTAAATATCCTTATCAAATTTATTATTATTAGTTTTATATTATATTATTTTTTGAATTTTTGAAGATATTCTGAATGCCTTGAAGGTGTAAGCCATAAAATAACGTAAAATACGTGTTCACATAAAATAGTTACTACTCCTTCTCAATTTAGTCACAAAAGTGCGGCGTGTATCATTTATAGAGGTATATAACGTATTCGAAGAAATAATCTATTTTAACAATTTGCAATGTACTATGAAATTAACAATTATAAATTTAAGAAATAAATTATAAATTGGTGGCGTCCACTGTGTCAGATCACGCGTTATTCAATTGGTCAGCACGACCATTCATTTTCTGACACAATGAAAGTCAAAATAACAATTCAGTACTTAAAACAACAAAAAAATTTGTTAAAAGAATTATTTATCGGCATCTTAATGTCATATAATTAACAAAAGTAAAATATCTATCACACCCTCTCTTACCATTAAATGGCACGAACAGGAGTGTTAGAAAGAGAGCCAGCATTTCTGGTGTATTTGGTGAACTGCCTGTCTGGGAGAGTGCACATGGTGATTTTATCAGAAGATCTAGGGCTTTTTATATGATAAGAGAGGCTTTGCATTTTAAATCATTAACTATGACAATGACCTATTAAATAATTCTTGGTGAGACCAGAACAAGTATATCGGTGGAAGACTGATCATGTAGTCTTATTTTAATGGTAATACAACACAAAGTATACATCATCTTTTGCGCTAATGCAATTCAAACATTTTCGAATCTCAATTCTATGTAAAATGCTTGTTATCAATTTAATGGATAAAATGAACAACACAAAGTATGCATTTTTACATCATCTTTTTTGAAGGTACAAATTTTTTTTTACACATAGCCCCCCCCCCCCACTTTCAATTTGCTTCCGACGCCAATGATATGCTATTATATATTGCATTGATTTTATTTTTGAATATAATTTTGTCATAGACAATGGGTTTTGTTAAGAAATTAATAAAGTTTATAAACTTCAATTCCGAAGGCCTATTCAATTCCCATTGTATATATACATTTGAATGCTTGTTATCAAGAAATCAGACATTTAACATGATATAATTTGATAAACAGAATGAATATTTTATTCGTGAAAAATGATAATCGATCCTGAAAAGACACAAGAAACACGTAAGTTTGGATGCTACATTTTGCAGTTTGATCAAAAACATTCCACGGAGGAATATGCATTTTTATTACATGTAGATTATAATAAATACACTGTTAATATATATTATTTTCCAACAGATTTGCACATTTATCGTGAGTAAAATTTAAAGATAAAATAAAAGTTTATCATGAAAATTTAACATCTGATTTTAACAAAAGTGAAGAAAAATGTAAACAAACGCTAGGCTCACGCCTTTGAAATACTTGTTTACATTTAAAATAAAATAATTATCATTATAATTGCTTCTACATATAATTTTGTCATAGACAATGGGTTTTGTTATGTTTATATAATGGAGAGATACCACAAATGTATATATTTATCAATGAAGATAATAACAACAGTTAGGACCGCCAATACCGATTAACAATCCCCTGTAAATTCATGCATACAAACGGCATAGGCTGCTGTGGTCAGCGGGGGATCTGAAAATTTAAAGATTTTATATTCTAAAAAAATTGGTCTCTTCATGATCTTCCCCATTTATTCTTAATATATAATTAAATCTTCCGAAGTTTAATTGGGCAGTCTGAGGATTAATAAACTATATAAAATCTGCGTTTTGTTTTATATGAAAAAATTCTATCAGCAGCCATACAACCATCATGGTAAGTACCTCAAAATAAGTGAAGAAAAAATGATACTCGATTTTCTTTTTACAATTTCATACTTAAGATGTTATTTTAAAAAGTTTAAGATTTTATATTATCTTTTTTCATGCATTAACAGGCATATCATGAAGTCTGTCCTTGTTCATTACAAAATTATATTGAAACAAGAGATTAATAAGAAATTACAATAATGTATTTCACATTATTCAAGCATATTTCAAGTATCATATAGCTGTAGATGCAGTTTAAGCACTTGAAGACAAAAATATAATACAATTTCATAAAATCAGTATAGTGTAATTTTAATTAACAAAAAAGAATCGTGAAGTGAAAATACAAAGGATACGAAAACGCCTAAATCTGTAAAAAAAAAAAAAAAAAAAAAAAAAAAAAAAAAAAAGTAGAATTGCAAAACAGCAACAAATCAAATAATTCATAAAAATAATCACAACTTAAAAATACACATTGTTTTGCAGAAAATCAACATCAAAGTCTATCTCATCATTACATTTTTTGTAAAATCCACAAAAAGCTTCGTTACTCTACCTTGCAAGTCAAACACTATGCAGGTTCCGCGTGATGACGTTAGTCATACGTCATTGTGTCCATGGACGATTACAACCACGTGCGACAGATATAGGCAGCCGATGAGAATGAATAATGCAACATGTCTCCCTCCTCGTCCATGTCCTAGCTGTGCTTCGTTAAGTATAGACTGTCATTCTGTTGTAAAGGCTATGCCTGTAAAGCGATTCAGTAACCACACCTGGGCATGGTCAACAGAGATGATCAATGTCGCTTGTATTCCTGTTGTAAACTGTTAATTGTTGGCGAATGGAAAACATGATAATGCAAAACATTTGTTTTCATTTTAATTTTTGCAATAAGAATTGAAGATTGATATAAAACATTCTTCATATTGAACTTTAATTTGTTTTATGCCAACAATATTTTCTGTTTATTTTTATTTTTTAAATATTTATTATGATCACTTATTGATTTTTAAAAAGTAATTTGTTCAAGATTTCTTGCTTGGTGTACATAGTTAATGCTGAACTGCCAAAAAGAACACATATGTATTCTTAGAATATAGTTCAATATGCATATAGTTTCATTTCAATACTTGATATCATTTATCATTTTTTATTTACTTTCTATTTACATTTTAATATCATATATTTTATTTATATATATAGTTTTATTTGAGATTTTAAAAAGCTATTCCTTTGGAATTTCCTGGGGTCAGTGTTTTATACCTTGTTAAAGTTTCATATGCTTTTGATATGTTTTTCCTTATAAGTCTTTTGAATGTGAATAAACTTTTGAAAGCAAAGAAATATTTATATGTATAATATTGTGTGTTTACAAGTGTTTTTTTTTTTTAATTTTGAACTTTCTTATTTCTCATTTTCAAATTGTAATTTGACTTGTGAAATGTTTTGTTATTATTTTTTAATTTTAATTATTATGATTGTATTTTGTTCATAATAAATATTTTTGTTTAATTTGATAATATTTCAAGAGCGAAATCTTCATGACGTTTCTTATGACGCTTAACATGAAACCAAAGGAAAACAAGCCGATAAAAAAAAATAAAACAGGATGTCTACAGCATGATTTCTGTATATTTCGTCAGAACTGGTCTCTTAAAAACTCGACTTACAAACTTTATCAGAGATAAGCCAATGCTCTCAGCACTTCACTTAGTGTTAATAATTTCATGGAGTAAAAAATATCAAAATATGAGAGTGGAAATAAAAAAAAATAAATATAAAAAAAAAAACTATCAAAGATCTGACAGAAGTCTGTATCACACATACATTCATCTTTTTTTAAAGATAAAGATTAAAATTAGATTCTTAACAATATAATTAATATCAAGTATACCAGCTTGGTAATAATTATAGAGTTTGTCTTACTTGCACCTTCATATGTTGTATGTATAATAACCCCCTCCCCCCTCCAAAAAAATAACATAGGTCTGTCTGATAGAAACAGGCAATTTTTTTCTTCAACTTATTTCTGATAACATAGTGCAAAATCATTATATAATAACTGACTATTAATAAAACAGGGAAAATCATTTCAAGTGCCATAAATTATAGTTAAATTGTATTCATCTTATATTTAGTAAGGCAATTTAGCTTTCCATTCCACCAAATTTTCATGGACTTCGGTTTGAGTATTAGATGTTGTTATATATGTTTCTAAAGCAGCTTTATTACACTGGGATTCATAAAAAAATATAATTCATAAAAAATGCAATAAACAACACATTCGGCTTTCTACATTGTTAATACATTGTATGTTAATAAACTAGGCATAATGTGAGCAATGAGCCAACAAAATGGTATCCCCTCTTCCGATATGATGATGATGGCAAGGTCCATGTTTTGCTCTGGGAGATTAAAAAAGTAAAATAGAAGGTGCACAATGGCACTATAAAATAAAGAATCAGTAAAATTATATTTAAATTTTATTCAGTGGTATAGGAGTAGTTGTGGATAAGAGATGGCTACCCTTGAGTGTTCAGGTGTTGATATGGGAAACCCAAAATATGTGTCGGATAAAAAAAAGACATGCACAATGAAAATTTGTAGCCAAAAAATATGAAAGTCTCATTACATTTCATTTAGTCGTATAAGAGGCATCAGTTGCAGATAAGAGATGGGTTCCCCAAATTGTAACTGACGGATGAACACACAGACGGACGGACCAACGGGCATCCTCATTACTATTATACATCCCTGCTTTTCAAGCGTGTGGTATAATAAGAAAGTATATAATTGAATTGCTAAGAAAATGAGATTAATTCAAGGCAGCGGTGGTGTAAAAGGATATAGGAGAACTCAGTGTTTCTATTGAAAATATTCTATTGCCTAATTTTGTCTCATAAAATAATCGTTGGTTTTCTATAATTCAATTCCATGTATTGACTGTCCAATTTATACTGGACACATTTTCTATTTAATTTTCTTTAAAGTCTTCATCTCCCAAAATATAACCTTTCAGTTCAAATATATAAACTAAATTATTGCCATCCAAAACTAGAGGCACTGTGAGCACTGGGCTAGATGATACCCTGCCTTCAATATGATCAATTTATCATAATGGCAAAGTCTATGGGAGACAAGAAATAAGGATTAGATCAAAAAGTTTAATTAAAGGTGCACAATTGCATTAGGTAATAGAATCTGTGAAATCATTAATTTTATCCAGCAGAATAGGAGAAGCTATGGATAAAAGAGATGAGTACTCGTCCATATTATAGAAATAATTGGAAGCGTCCATATTTTGCTATGGGAAGTTCAAACTATGTCTCGGATCAAGAAGTAAAATAGGAGGAGAACAATGGTACATTGTAACAAAGATTATGTGAAAGTCTCATTAAATTTCATTCAGTGGTTCAAGAGGTGTTACAGATAAGAGATGGGTACCCCCAAATTTAACAGACGGAGGGACGGACTGACGGACATCCAGAACACTTTTACCCCCCCCCCCCCAAAAAAATACTTTTCAAGCAGGGTTGGGGGGTTAAAATGATTGAAAACAAAGCAAAACAAATCTTTTATTCTGTTGATGTACAGTTCAATGAAGAAAGGATGAGAAAATGACTGACATACTATTAAAAGAATACTATTCGATTTACAATACACATGTTTCAGGTAAACTTAAGACAGGTCGCTGATCAAATCAAGGTTCAAAAAGGAAAATCAGTAGCAAATACATTTTCAATATAAATGACAAAATTTTCGTGAAAAATAGTTTTGTATTATCGCTTTTGTTTAAAATTGATCATATATAAAAGATGAAGAAAACAAACAGTGTTCGATCACATAAATCCACCGTACAAAAAAATCGTTAACAGAGCCAAAACATAGATTATTCCAATCGCATCATCTCGGGTCTTTCCGTCAGAGGTTGGAAAAACAACCTCGAATGTATTAACATCACCGGATGTTAAAAATTTATACATCTTCCTTTTTATTCAAATGTAGGATAGACGGATTTAGAAGTCCCTTCTATAGTATATTTGAAGTAATATCATTACATCGAATAAAGTTAAACTCCATATTCCACAGATAAAAGGTCTCCGTGCATTTATTTCAAAGATCGTGAAAAGGGAGGGTTGTCATGGCGTCTACCATATACATTCGAGGTCGTTTTTCCGCTAGTCGGAAAGGCCCGAGAAGTTGCGATTGAGATTATTGATCTCCTGTCGACGGGTCACTTCCGCCTTGAGCCCTATGTTTTGATCAGGTAGATAAAGTACTTAAACTAGTAAACTTTAGTATAACAGCATGGACATGTCAAACAAAATACGATCCAACGATAAGTTGTATTAACAAACAAGATCATTCAAACAATTTTAAAATTCCAGTAGAATATCCAGTGATTTCTGGTTGGCCATGTATACTTTAAGTCTGTAAAAATTGATAACTTGTGAACTCTTCAGAACAAGACATTTAACTGATAAGATATCATCTATAGTTACTGAGTATTCACAAAAATCCTATTAATATGAAATAAATAAACTTGTATATATGCATGCTTGCAAATCATTTTTAATATTGGAAATAACATATGAAAGACTATGGCAAATTTTAAAAGGCAGTAAATTCGACGTCAGTGATTTGGTAGAACGCCCATTTTAAAGTTCATCTGAGTTGACTGCAACGCAAGCAACCGGAACGCGTTTTTCTATAACGCCTATTCTACAAGTTCCACCGGAGCAGATGACTTTTTCGAAATTGAGAGATTTGAACACCTCCACACACCGGATGTTGTCGTTGATGACGTAAAGGCTGTTTGGTCGTACACAGCGACATTCTGCCTCATAGTAAAACTGTCTGCCCTCGTTTTTCAGTTTATTTACCCAAGGACAAATACTGGCGTGATTGATGTTGAATCCTGTTTCATGATACTGTTGAATATCATCGCAGTATTGAACATTTCTTTTTCTTCTTAGAAACCTATCTAATTGATTTGTTTGTTGACTTGTCTTGAATTTTGTTAAGTCTTCTATTCCCCTCCCAATAGTTTCTACCACAAACAAGGACAATGTAATCGTCATCCAGATTTGAAATGTTCTCTACAGTAAAAGAAAACATTATATTTTTTAAAATGTCACTTTCAAGTTTAAGTTTTCACAATGGATTGAATTTACGATAATTTCATTTTACAAAATTACTCGATGAGATGCACTGAATATCTAACAAACGAAAGAAGTAATGTAAAACGTCAATTAAAAAAAGCATGATTATTTATTTTAATTGAATGCTAATTTTTTGTGCTAGTTTTAAACTTTTAATTATTCAAAAAATTATATTTATATTTTTCTTAGAATTTTCCTCTTCATATTGAAATATCTTTGAAATAAAAAAAATAAATAAAAATTAATTTAAGCAAAAATAAAAATTGAATTTTTTAAAGATATTATGCTTTAAGTATTTGCTCATGAAATGCCAAAAAAAAAATTATTTTTCTGAAAAATGCACTTTTAAATTAAGTCTTGAAATACATACCATTTTTATTTTATAGAATCAAATGCTGGTGAATTAATATTCTGTAGTTATTTAATTTTTGTCAGAAAATAGCTAACAATTCTTCTTATATATACCATTACCTTCTTTTAGGGGAAATATTTCTTTTATTTCCAGATACCCTTTGGGTAGATTATTGGTTACCTGTATGTGCTAGTTTTAGAAGTACTATAATGTCTAGTGGACTAACTATAAGTGGTGGTACTTGTGCACTATCGCTGACAACCAAGATATATTTCCGACTTCCTAGCATTCCGACCTGTTTATTGCATGATTAAATTTTAAAAAGAATTTGAAATTTCTTGAAGAAAGAATTTTGAATCTAGATAAGTGCTAATGACTTCCCTCATAGATAATTTTTATTATCTCTTGTAAATTATGCACAAAAATTTACCTTATCCATACCTATTAACCAATTTTTAAAATTTCGATGAAAGAAAATGAACGTATAATCAACTCTCTGATTCATAGGTTTTTTTAATTAGTTTTTTTTTTTTGGTAAAATCGACCAAACTGGCTACTGTAGACACGTTTCCTCTTATAAGATCTTTTTACTCTCTGTACGTGGTCACAGAAATTCTGTAGATATTTGTAAGAATGTATTAAAGGCAAAAATAAGACAAGCAATGGCCAAAAAAAAAATCGCCTAATTTTCTTTCCCAGAATTGAACAGAAATTTTAATTCAGTGGAATTATGACTCCATGAAAAAGTACGCCTAAGCACGTGTAAATCATAAATGTTTTTAAACTGCAAAGTAAAAATGAACAACTTAAACAACACAGCAATCGTTTGATTTTCAATAATTCGAGAGCACAAAGCAGAAATTCTCTGTCACATAGTCAGATGTCCATTGACAGTTGATCATTGACGAATTCCAATTTCTTTTTTAAGTGATATAATTCAATGTTAATAACCTTTTAACGATTACTTTTTGCAATTAATTAAAGATGCAGATATTCATACGAAAACTAATAATCTGATATCAACTCTTATTTTTTAGGTAAAGTACACATCTGTTTAAACATCGTGATTTAACACTGCCATAACTGAATCATCATGCTTCGTTCACGACAACGTCTTAAATGGATTTCATTTTATAACTTATATTATTATATTATTATTTAGGACTTATATAGGCAGCGCCTGCTGTCTAATCCTGATATGTTTATACATAGTAAAATATTGTTTAAATTAAAATTAAATTGATATTAAAATAATCGTTGAAGATGTTTTTCTTAATCAATCGATCAAGTTTTAATATTTACATACATGATTCACCAACTAGAAATTAGCAACTTTCACACATAATTAAAGCTGCATTTATTGCTTTAATTCCACATTTTGAAAAGAAACTTAAACTATCCAATTATTGCTGTTTTGAGATCAATACGATGATTTGGCCACCTAAGGACGACAATATTCAGCGAACCCGGAAGGCGGCTAAATCATCATTTTGACCTCAAAAACAGCAATAATTTTATATTATTATTTAATTGAACCATCCTATCGTTCTGATTGGCTGAGATCTAACTATGTAGGAAACATACTAGGCTATATTTACCTGCATGTGAAAAATACTACGTTATATTTATCTGCATTTAAACTTCAATCATATAATAATCAGTGTTATCTTTCAAAGAATTAAATTAAAATAACGTTGTACTTCAATATACTGTGAACATACTAGTCAACGCAAGAAAATCTTATTTGTTGTCTATTAGCAATATCTAGAGGGTCTTTAGAAAGAAATATATAGAGCAAAGACCAAAATATTTTCTTCTATATATTTAATTCATTTACATTTGCAAAGTTATACTAGTTAAAAGTCATTCTGATTGTATAAAAAAACTGCTTCTAAGTTGTCATGAAAAAGATGCTTAAGTTTCAGATTGACAATATCTATGACATTGTAGGTTTGGAGATAATCTGTTGGAATTTCTATGGGAATTTCCCGTTTTGTGCCTCCTTCTTGACAGACTTATTTTTTCATAAGAAGTAGAATCCATATAAAATTAATCGTAAAAGAAGTCTCCTGCTGTGACATTCAATATTGAAGACGTTCTATCAATTTATTTATTTATTCATTTATTTATTTTATTTCTACGTTGATTTGATATATTTCATTGAACTCGAAATTAGAGACAACACAGAGTCTGACACATCTATTTTTATACTAGTATTTAAATATTTAACTGTAATGACTTCCAATTCTCTATCGTCAATTTTCCTTATATATGAAGCAATATTCCAGTATCATCTCTACTCGTATATTGAGTTCACGTCTGCCAGTTAATTCGATAGTTATAGCATGCCCTCTGTACGAACCATTTCTAAAGCAAGATAAGCTAATGATAAATAAGTTACTGGCAATAGAATATCGAAAGACTTTAATAAAGCGAACATTATGCAAATTGTGTGGTAGATACAATAAGCCTGTTAGATATTAAATAAAAAAAGTCAAATGTTGACTGAATTTTTTCACAATTTAAGGTTGATATATTTTGTACTGTCAAAATAGTTTTAATTTCAATGGATTAAGGCATGGATTTCACGGAGCGAGTGAACGGTTTCCACGGGATGCTTACTACTCCACGGCACCTGATTCTATATCTGATGGTAAAGAAGACCGCGTTTGCTCTGCTCAAAATTTATATTATTTCAAAAAACTTTTTAGGTTATTCAGTGTTTGTTATCATTACATTTCATTCCTTAAAAAAAAATAGAAACATACTGCAACGGAAAATATCAAAAGGATTTTCAAAATAATGAAGAAAAAAATCGGAATATTTAAAATCACATTTTTTTCCAAAAATAAAAAATCAAAAGCATGAAAAACTGGAAAGTATCTTGATATCAGATGTGTTGGGGAAAGGGATAAGAAGGTAACCAAAATATTATTTCAATAAAAACATTAGCTATTTATTTCCTTAACAAATGAATTTTAGTTGAAGCAACAACAGACCACCATCAAATAATAAATTTAGCAATGCAATAAAGGAGTTTTAATCCAGAAATCTTTCTGAATAAGTTTTATGTAAAAGGTCTTCTAAATTTATGAAAAAGAAGACAACGGATATTTTTTTTCTTATCTTGTTTTACTATGATGGAATTGATTTATTTTTATTTGATAGATCTTTTTCCAATTTTTTTTTTCATGTTTCTAGGTTTCGAATGTGATGCACAGTAGCAAGATCTCAATCATATTAAGTACAGCTTGAAATCTAAATAAAAGTTTCATTCTTATTGCATATTTTTATTGTTTATTTTCATTTTTTTATTGTTCATTATAAGTGCTTTAGAAAATCTATCATGACATTGTTTCTATTCTATAGTAGCAATACAACTGGACATGTTAGATTTTTACTACAATATTTTTATAGACAATTCAGTGAATACTTATGCATAGTAAAGGCTATGTTTTGAGATTTTTGCTTTTCTTTTTTTTTTTTTTTTACTTGAAAGCCATAATTTTAAAGATAGAATTTACGCATGTCATGCTAAACAACGTATTTTCTAAAAAGAAAAACTCTGTTATCAACGTTTATCTTTCATTCATTGTTTATATCCAATTCATAAATAAATCCCAAACAGGAGATAGTGCAAGTGGGCATTTAACAGACAAAGCTGTTCCATTGGTCGAGATTGTTATTTGTATCTCACATTGATTTCAAACCCCCACTTATTCGTTTCTATAAAATTTGATATAACGAGTAATATGATTGGTTACAAGCGAGAATCATGAATACTATCAAAAAATAACACTATCTACAATGTTTGTGTTTATCACCTGCTAGGCCATCTTTTATCACGTAGTGTTTGCTAGCTTCCTTTAAGATTACATTGCGTAGTTTGATTGTCTTTACATTCCTCAGAATCTCACTTCCTTGGTGATTGCAATTTCAATCAGATGCTGTCCCGGTAATCTAAGGGAATTTTTTTAAAAGAAACTTACAGAAATATATAAGTATGTGATTATAAACTTTCTCTCGCACTTAAAACTTTTACTTGAATCTTAAACATGGTTAGTACTGAAGAATACCTAAAAAATCATTTTATTTAAAAAAAAACTACTACTATGTTAAAGAATGCGATTGAACTTTAAAATAGTTACCTGTAATATACTTTAAAATTTTTTATAATTCATTTCTTTTCTGTTAATTACAGGACTGTACAATTTCATATTATCTTGGCTTCATCCTTGTACATATAACCCTGGTATACAATATTATGGCTTTGCCTGCAACAACGAGTCATTTCAAAGAAATCATTCTTCACAAGTTACAGAGCGGAGCACATCACACCTTAGAAAAAAGAGACACAAATAGCATATGTAGCCCATTTTCAGGAAATTGTAACACAATAGATATAGCCAAATTATCGATATGCCCTTGGACAATGCAAACAAGTGTGAACAGACTTCGAAGACCAAAGAGAATTAAGGAAGCAGTGTGTGACTGTGAGAGACCACGAGTGTCCGGCTCTTTTCCCATGGTATGCCGTCCAGTGTACAGAACCTTCCTGGTAAAAGTG